TTTTTTTTTTTATATTTCAACATAATTGGTGGGTTAAACATGTAATTTGTGAATAAATAATAATTGCACAATACTATTTGGTACAATGCACAACAAAGATACATAAAATGCACAATAGAGTGTGCGTCTATGCATATTACAAATTTTTAAAAATGCAAACATGTAAACACACTACATAATGCATAACAATATTCATGGTTGGCGTTGATATTTCATATTTCTATTTAAGTATTCATACTTTTGTTTCTGCAGAAATAATAAAAATTTTAATAGTAAATAATATAAACGAACCGACATATAAAGATTTGAATTGAAAATGGTAGATTGGTCGGTTTCGATCGCCATTATGCAGTCTGTTAGACCATAATGTTCAATTTGTCTAACACTGTTGTGAAGAGTTTCGGTTGCTATCGTATAGCTTGAGCTAACCAAAATTTTGTCCCAAACAACATTTAAGCTGAATTATTTGGTTATCTGGTCAATTAACTGAATTATCCTAAATAAACGGAATAATGTATTATTTATATTAATAATATATTTGGTATTTTAATAGGTTAATTTAATATTTTATGTTATTTTTTTGTTGAAGAAACATTATATGTGAATTATTGAAATCGATAATATGCATTCACATATACACTAATGTGCATCTAATTTACATTATTACGCAATGTTGAGCAAATATTTTTCTATGTGCTTTTAAAATTTAGAAACTTTAATAATATGTATTTTAATTAATATTGTTTCGTCTTTATTAAATTATTTATACAATAATAATATATTTAGTATTTATTTAACTATTGAATATTTAATGTTTTAGTTTGTCTGAAAATAAATAATATTTTTTTTTTTATATTTTTCGTCGATTTGGTTATTTTGGTTATTTTAAAAAATAAAGTCGAAATAAAAAAATAGTAAAAATTTTAAAAGTAAAATAACCGGTAACCGAATTGATATATAAATACCAAAACCGAAAGTTTTACTTTGGTCGACTTCGATTATCATTTCGGTTTTGGCCGAAGTTGCACACCCCTACTTTAAAATGCACAACATCGATAAATTAAATACACATAATACCTATAAGAATGCCAGTATCGTAATATTGTTTATATATATATATATATATAAGGATTGGATCCAATGAGTCCACAGATTAAAAATGAGT